TATAAAAGCATACCAGCAGAACACAACCTACTTCTTCTACCTTACCAGCTTCAGTTTCACTTTATGTCACAGTAGCTTCAGATAGAAAGGAACCCTGCTTCAGGGATTGTGGGGTGTCTTGCTTCAGACAGTTACACCCTTAATACTGTGATCATAAATACTGTCACAGGACTTAAGAATTACTCTTTAATTTCTTGAAGAGTACTGAAAAGTCATAAGCCCTCGCTAATCACATTTCTTCAGTATTTGATACCATAATGAATTAATATGGATACTTACATAGTCAAACAGTTTCAGGATTAAAAAAAGAGCTCAGTGTTTTTTTCTTTCAAAAACTCATAGTCAAATACTAAGTCCTGTCAAAGTTTATTAGCTATCTCTTCAGATATTATTAAGGATAAGAGTAACTCAGCATCCTTTAAACTAAGAACAATTTTGTTTTTTTAAAGACAAAATCATGATTCTTAAATGTAAAATGAGCAAGTACCAAGATTTAATATATTAATATCTGTAAGAATCTATACTAATGATTACTTACGATTTCTTTAAAACTAGTCAGAATTGGCTGGGCACCAGTGGCTCACACCTGTAATCCTAGTTTCAGGAGACTGAGATCTGAGGATCATGGTTTGAAGCCAGCCCAGGGAGGAATGTCTGTGAAACTCTTATCTCTAACAGACTACTCTGAAAAAGCCAGAAGTGACACCGTGGCTCAAGTTGTAAGAGCACTAGCCTTGAGCAAAAGGGACAGCACCCAAGCCCCAGAGTTCAAGTCCCAGGACAGGCAAAAAAAAAAATTTTTTTTTAAAAGTCACAATTGGTTAACATAAATCTAAAGATACAAACATGTAATCCTGTTAAGAAGACCAAATGAGTTTGGAAACAGCAGCTTGTACCTATGGCCCTAGCGACTTGGGAGGCAGAAATGGAGAAATGGGTCTGAGGGTACCCTGGACAAAAGTAAGCTAGACCAGCATGGTGGTGTGCACCTCTGACTCCAGGCAGAAGCACAAGACTCTACCTGGAAGTTAAAGTAAAAGAGGGCTGGGACTATGGCTTACATGGTAGGGAGATGACCTACCTAAGTAAGCCTGAGACCCTGAGTTGAAACTAGTACTGCCCTTCCCCCCCCCCCCCAAAAAAAAGGGAATTACTAAACTCTCCAAAAATAAAACTTATATAGAAATGGATTGACAGGAAATTTAGGTAAATTAGTTTTAGGACTTTTTTTTAAAAAAGAATAATCTCATCAAATCAATGAGAACCTTTAAATATGTTTAGAATACTATTATAAAGACAGATGGTATCAACTCAAATTAATAAATAATGGCTCATCAGATGATCTTTTTGGCACAGGATCCAGTTAAGAAAAATGGGATAAATCAACTTGAATGGTATATACCACTGAAATTTGAAGCTATTTTGGCACATCTGAGTTTCCTCCTTAGGTTTGCCAGAGTGGCTGTGAAAACACATTGCAAGAAATGAAGTTTGCTGGGGTTCTGTTTACTTTAGTACATGGCACGATAACCAGCCTCAGAAGCCAAGGAGAACAACAGTAGCCACGTTCTTGATATTTTCTTTCCCTCATATATTCAGACAGTTTTTTGTCGTTGAGCAAGTGTTTTTATTGTGCCTAACCTGAAGCGTGAGTGACAGCTGAAGCTGGTCTCTCTCTTGTGGGCCTGGCCTGGCCCTGTTAATAGATTACAACATTCCGCTCTTGTTAATGCCAGCAACACAGGAGAAACATTTACTATTATGCTATTTAGTAATGATAAAGGTGACAGAAAAAGTCTTTTTATGGAAGCTGGGTCCTCACAGCAACTCTTCATGCTTGTGATAAGGAGACACTAGTTGGCTGTCAAACAGAGGTACTCTAGCTTGTTATCTGCAGGGCCGATACTGCCTCTTCAGCTCCCTCCTTGTGCCAGGAACCTATCTGAAGTGAAGGGTTGCAGAGCTACAGATAGCAGAGCACTTTTCTGGTCCAGAAGTACACGTAGAGTTAGCCCTTCTTTTGTAGGATAAGAATTTCATGGAAGTTTTGAACAAAGCTCATATTCTCTTATAGATTTAAAAATTTTGAGAGGAAAAATATGTTTGATGATTCCTATTATTAGAAAATTCAGGGGCTGTGAAGGTGGCTCAGTGGTAGAGTGCTTGCCTCTTTGCATGAGGCCCTGGGTTTGATTCCTCAGCACCACAGAAACAGAAGTGGCACTGTGGCTCAAGTGGTAGAGCACTAGCCTTGAGCTGAAGAGCTGAAGGACAGTGCCCAGGCCCAGAGTTTAGGTCCCATGACCAACAAAAAAAGAAGGAAAGGAAAGGAAGAAGGAAGGAAGAAGGAAGAAAAAAAGAAAATCTGGTGATAAATATTTCAGTATACCAACAAGAGCAAGATTGTATTAACTACTGTTAAGATATGTGACAGTTAGGACAAAGAAGCCAAATAGAGTAAGGCTAGAGTAAATCATCAGTGTCACAATAAGATCTATAGGCACCACTATATTTATTCTGTTTCTTGAGCTGGGTAGATTGTAAGTGTTCTGTGTGTTCTGTTATTCAGAGTATTCGCATTTTCACTGCTGATAGCAGCTGGAAGAGATTGGACAGGTGGGATTTGCTACCAAGGATGGAAGAGGACAACTGTCTCCATCCCTTAGGATTTTGAATAACAGGTCCTTTTGTGGTTAAGTACACATAGATGTCCATATGTAATAATGGAGCTCAGAGCTTAGTTCCATGGAGCAGTTGAGGAAATAGATGCAGTAGTTGCTATGGGCCTTTTTGTGTTTGGATTTTTTTGTTTTGTAATTCAGGACCTTGCGCTTGCTAGGCAGGCACTTTCAACCTGAGCTATACTTTCAGTCCTTCCCCATCTTCTTCAAGACCAGGTCTCACTGTGTAACTCAGGCCGGCCTCAAGTTGAAAATCTTCCTTCCTTAGCTTCCCAAGTGCTGGGATTACAGGCATATATCATCACATCCCTGCTAAAGATTGCTTTAATAAGAGATATGGTGTATGAGATTCCCAATAGGTGACAAGTAGTTGGAGAAGTGAACATATTTTATATTCATAACTGCTTGTGACTTTCTCTGAGCCTGTAAAATTAAAAAATCATACTAGATAAAATGAAGTTTTAAGGTAATTTGGCTTCGGAGAAACAAAAAAATTCTTAGCTCTTCATATACTATGTTTGCATTCTATTTCAGGAAAAAAGGAATACAGTAAGCATCCATAATTATTGCAAATCATTTTCATTTTTAAAGTGATACTAATATCTTTCAGAACAAACTTAAAATGTACTTTAGATCTAATTTAAACAATAATTTATTGATGTACTTATCTTGAACTAATGTTATCATCAAACTTTATTTCCTAAGTAGCCTCTCATAGTTAGGCATACTTGGAAATTTTTAATGTCTTAACACTTCTCAAGTTTGCTGGAAATTCATTGTCTTAATGCTATTTAGATTGTTGAACCCAGTAGCTACCTTAAAAATGAAAACCTATTGGGTTTTTTAAAATTAGCATTCTTCAGGTAGATTACTAATCATTGTTCTTTAAGCTCTTAATTTTAAAATTTATTCTTGGGCTTGAACTCCAGGGTCTGGATGCTGTTCCTGAGCTTTTGTGCTCAAGGCTAGTGCTCTCTTACTTTTAGCCATAGCCCTATCTCCAACTTTTTGGTTGTTAGTTGCAGATACTAGTCTTATGGACTTTCCTGCCTGGGCTGGCTTTGAACTGGGATCCTCAGGTCTCAGCCTCCTGCATAGCTAGGATTTCAAGCATGAGCCACTAGAGCCTGGCTACAATTTATTCTTTTAAATACTAAACAAGTTATTTCAGATGACCTTGTTTTAAAAAAGTTATTAAACCAATTGCCCACTAAATTTTCACCCTAAAGAAAAAAAAAAAAAGTTAATAGCATGATCCAGAAGATATGAAAACGACACTCAAGAAAGTTATCTGGAAAGTCAGTCCACAAAGCAAATCATAAAAGAAGCTCTATAGAAGAGCTAGTAAAGGGGAGAGTGAGCCATTCTGAATAACTTCTCTTTTTTTTTTTTTAATTCGTAAGGCCTGAACTCTGGGCCTGGGCATTGTCCCTGAGCTCTTGCCCTCAGATGAGTGCTCTCCCACTTGAGCCACAGCACCACTTCTGGCTTTTTCTGCCTATGTGGTGCTGAGGAATTGAACCCAGGGCTTTGTGCATACAAGGCAAGCACTTTACCACTGAGCCACCTTCCCGGCCCCATTCTGAATAACTTGATGACAAATTTTGAAGCATGTAAAGTCTGTAATAATATGAGTATTCATCATAGGAAAGTATTGATATAAATATTAGATTTGAGCTTTTATATTTTTAATTATACAAGAAAATGATAATACTCAAAAAGAAATTAGACAGATTTGGGGCCTAATTTCTCTGGACAGAAGAAGTCCTAACAGGCAGAAAGGAATGTCAGTAGATGAAGTAGCTGGGATGTTCAGTGTACAAATGCACACTAAATAAAGCACCATTTTGATTTCTAATTCCAAATAATACAATTTCTAATTTCCACACAGTACTACAATGTGCCTGTCCTGTTTTCTAGCAGACAATGGAAGAATTAATCTTGCCACTATCTTAGGTTTGCCTTTCATGAAGAATCAGAGTACATTTGTGGTCATTTTAACATATTTCAGTGGCTCTTACATAATTAAGTTCATTCAACCCTGTGCTCTCTTAATCAATTTTACAGAAAAACTCATGGCAAGTTAGTATTCTTTGTGTGTGAATTTTCCAATTGTATTTCAGACGTTAAGAAAGAAAGGCCTTAATGGTTGTGAGAGCCCTGATGCTGACGATTACTTTGAGCACAGTCCACTCTCGGAGGACAGATTCAGCAAACTAAATGAAGATAGTGATTTTATTTTCAAACGAGGCCCTGTAAGTACTTTCGCTTTACCTCTACTTTTTATTTGTTGATCTTTCTGTTAACTTCGTCATCTAGGCTCTGAACAAGAAGGAGCACAGAGGGTGCGACAGCCCAGACCCCGATACTTCCTATGTGCTAACTCCACATACAGAAGAAAAGTATAAAAAAATTAACGAGGAGTTTGATAATATGATGCGGAATCATAAAATCGCAGTGAGTACTAAAGTATGGTTTATGCTTTTATCTTGTGCATGAAGAAATTGACCATACATACATCTTATATGGTGGATTGATGTCAGTAATAAGTAGAAGAGGAAATAAAGGCTTCTTTTTGGTTTTGGGGGGGCTTTATAGAACTTTGAAATTTCTGAAATCTCATAATAGTACATGTTCTTTTTTTTTTGGTTGTGGGGCTTGAACTCTGGGCTTAGACGCTGTCCCTGCACTCTTTAGCTCAAGGCGAGCGAGTATTCATCCATTTGAGCCACAGTGCCACTTCCGGTTTTCTAGTGGTTTATTGGAGATATCTCACGGACTTTCCTGCTTGGGCTGGCTTTGAACCGTGATCCTCAAATTTCAGCCTCTTGAGTAGCTAGGATTACAGGCATGAGCCACCAGCACCTGGCTCTTTTTTCTTTTAAAGTGGCACTTAGGCTTGACCTCAGGGCCTTGTACTTGCCAGGAAAGTGCTCTACTACTTGAGCCATACCCCTAGGTTCTTTTATTGTCTTTATTTTTTGAATAAGGTCTTCCATGTGTGCGCGGGCCACGTTGAACCAAGACCCATCTATTTGGGCTACCTGGATAGCTACAATATTAGCTGTGTACCCCCAAATCCAGTTATTGATTGAGATGGGTCTTACATTAATGACATTGATCCAGTGGACTTTCTGATCTTCACCTCTTAAATAACTAGGATTGTGGGTATGAGCCACTGGTGTACTGTCGTGTTCAGTATCTTAAATGTAGAGGAGAAAACATCCTAAGTCAAGCTTCTGCTACTTATTCTTTGTATCTTCAGATAGGTAACCCAAATATCCTGAATTCCTGATTACATCTAATAAAGTGAATGTGTTGACTTACATAATTTAATGTCCCTTCCAGTTCTAAAATTCTATAGTATTTACTATAAAGTATATATAAGGCTTTTCTCTCTTTTCTATAACTTTATGTATGTGTACACATATACACATGTACATATTATTTATAAATTATGTTTTATATTATACATGTCATATATACAAATTATATATGTATATATAAACAACTTTTTTATATATAAAATAGGTACTCAAATCTTGAGAGCACCAAATGTAAAGTAGTTGGATTTTATATTTTGTTGCAGAATTTCATGTTCTGAAATTATTCTAAATGATTTACTATTGTTGTTATTTTTTTTATTATTGCCAGTCCTGGGGCTGGACTTAGGGCCTAGGCTCTTCCCTGAGCCTCTTCATGCTCAAGTCTACCACTTGAGTCACAGCACCACTTCCAGCTTTTTCTGAGTAGTTTATTGGAGATAAGAGTCTCACAGCCTTTCCTGCCCAGGCTGGCCTCAAACCACGAGCCTCAGACCTCAGCCTCCTCAGTAGCTAGGATTACAGGCATGAGCCACTGGTGCCCAGCTTTAAATTACTTTGTATAATTGTTTTAATATTAAAGAACAAAGCTTACTGTTTGGCTCTTTGAATATGTCCCATGGCACTTGGCAGTAATATCACCAAATAATTACTCTTTCTGTATGTTGGAACTAAGGCAGAAGCCTGGGTTAATTATAATTTAAAGAAAAAATGTTCTTAAACTGATTCCAAAGCAAATAGTTACTGTAAATTTTTTAGTGCCATGTATCTAACAGTACTTTTTTGAGCTTTTATTCCTAGACATAAATCTTTTTATCTAACCATAGTGAATCAGTACTTTTTTGAGCTTATGTTCCTGGATATGAGAAATCTTTTTTTTTCTATTAGTGTACAGGGAAGTAGGGTTCATTGTGACATTTCCATACATATACAAGTGTTTGTGACATTTCTGTACATTAACTTGGTACAGTGCAGTTGGCAAGAGCTACTTAAAACTGTCATTCTAGATCAAATTTCCTAACTCTATATAAGTGTAGCCTTCAAGGAATAAATTGGTTCCAGTGCAGATACTTACTTTACTGTCAGAGTTCATTTTCTAAGAAACCATGCCCTAAAATGGCATCATATATCATTTATTCAAAGTAGTCCTATGGAAAAATACCCTTAAGGAAACGTTTTTGGGTTAGTATTGTTATTCTTAAGATAATTCTACCAGACAAAGTAAAATCCCCTCTAACCTCATAGTGATGTTGTTGTAGTTAGCATAAAATTGCAAAAGTATTTCCCAAGTCAAATTGGTGTATATCTGCAAAGTTTCTTATATGTCTGTTGTTTTATATTTGTTGATGAAATACAGTTTTTCCAACTGAAATTAACCATTGAATAGAATACACAGACTTTAATTATATTCTTCTAATTCTGAATTAATTAACAGTGGTACTTTACTTTTCAAGTTACTGTTTTAAAATGAGGATTGAGGAAATGTTTTTTTCTTCCCCTCTGTCACTTTAAATTATAAAGAATCCTATCATTTATCATAGTTGACAAGTGTATTATAAATAGTCTATGGAGGAAATACAATAAGAAAGTAGGAAAATACCCTTTTAAAGGAATGTGGAATATTTTGGCAGGAGAGAAGGTAGCATGGATATATTTGTAATTTAATCTTGTGTAATTTTGTAATTTAATCTTTGTGTGATTTAAAGAAGATACCAGAATATTTAGTACTTGCTTATGACTGAGTTTGTTGTTTGGACTGTTTCTTTGTTTTTTTAAATTATACTCAGATTATATTGTATTCTGTTTATAACTAATTGTTCTTTTTTTAATTGTACCGTGAATAATGTCAATCAAATCAGGCTAGCTTTATTTAAAATGTCCCCAAAATTGATGTATTTATTAATTTAATAATGCATTAATAATAAAATGACAAATGCTCCCACTTCCATTACATTTGGGGTCTCCCGGTAGAAGGATAATGTTATAAAACCAGTTTGCATTGTAATGCTAATTAATACTTACTTGGTAACAAGTATGTATTCTGTAATGTCTAAGTTCAACAATATCAGATTTTAATCTAATTATCATGTCTATGAGTACTTGAAATATAGCATGTATTTATCATGTGAATGTATGTATATTAATATATAGAATATTGAAGATGAAATGCTCATAACAAACATATTCATGTTTGAGTACAATTAAGTTATTTAACATAGAGGAAAATGAACATTTCTCTCCTTGTTTCTTTACAGCCGGGTTTGCCGCCTCAAAACTTCTCAATGTCTGTCACCGTCCCTGTGACAAGCCCTAATGCATTGTCCTACACTAACCCAGGGAGCTCCCTTGTCTCACCGTCTTTGGCAGCCAGCTCAACATTAACAGATACAAGCATGCTCTCTCCACCTCCAGCCACGTTGCATAGAAATGTGTCCCCCGGAGCTCCTCAGAGACCACCTAGTGCTGGCAATGCAAGTAGGTGATGATATCTATGCTGGCTCTTTATCAAAGATGATGGAAAATGAATTGCTAACATAAGAAATGTCTCACTTTGTCTTAGTGTTATTATCTGGATAGCCAAAAGTCACTGCAATATAATTGGATCTATTTTAAGGTTTTTTTTTTTTTTTTTTAATTGGTATTAGAGCTTGAACTCAGGGCCTGAGCACTGTCCCTGAGCAATTCTCCCCAAGGCTAGCACTCTGCTACTTGAACTACAGCACCATTTCTGGTTTTCTGGTGGTTAATTGGATATAAGAGTCCCATGGCCTTTCCTGTGTGGGCTGGCTTGGAACTGTGGTCCTCAGATTTCAACCTCCTGAGTAACTAGGATTAGGCATGAGCCACCAATGCCTGCCTATTTTAAGATTTTTTTTTTTGGGTCCGGTCATGGGGCCTGAACTCTGGGTCTGGGCGCTGTCCCTCAGCTCTTCAGCTCAAGGCTAGCGCTCTACCACTTGAGCCACAGCACCACTTCCGGCTTTTTTCTTTTTGCTTATGTGGTGCTGAGGAATTGAACCCAGGGCCTCAGGCATGCAAGGCAAAGCACTCTACTACTGAGCCACCTTCCCAGCCCTATTTTAAGATTTAAAAAAAATCTATGAAGGCAAAATTAATGTCAGCCAAAGCAGAATAATATAATGAACCTTCCATCAGTAAGCTTTTCTTATTATGAGAAAGCTATACTTCAATAGGCAGAAAATATAATCAGGATACCATGAGCAAACACCTAAAGCTAAATGTGACCCTCATGTTTAAATACACTCACCCGCTTGGAGTGTTTTGTGCATCCTCCTTCCTGGATTAGTTCAGTAATTTAGTAGAAACCTAAAGTTCATTTGATACATTATGTATTCAATGCATTGTCTCCCTTACATACTATATTAAGGGTACCCAACATGTTCAGTATGTATTGTGCTCATTCTTATTAGTGTGTGGATGCATAGGTAAATTCATGTGTGCGGTTGTATACAAACATACACAGTGTTATATAGTACACATACACACACATACACACAAGAGTGTGTATGTGTAACTATATGTATGCAGGGGTGTATGCATATGTAATTATATCCAGTGACAGGTTATAACTTTAGACTGGGCTAGTTTTTCAGTTTTAGAACTTGAGTGAGGGTTATCCTTACCATAGAATTCATTCAAATATATCATCTACACTGTCTTCTCTCTATAATGTTGTTAGGTGGGATGTTGAACACTACAGACCTCACGGTGCCAAATGGAGCTGGAAGCAGCCCAGTGGGTGAGTAAATTCCTACTGTTTGATTTTGTAGGATACTTACAACTTTTCCCACAATACTCCTGCTTTTTCCTTTCCCTTTCACTGTGGCCTTAAGTTCATTTATGCTTCATTCATTAAGTACTCAGTGCTTCCATTCTAGACATTGTTCTTTTCTAAAGACTCCATTGCATTAGCAACGTTTATGTCAATATAGTTTCTTTTTTTCTTTTTCCAGTGGTCGTGGGGCTTGAACTCTGGGCTTGGTCACTGTCCCTGCACTCTTCAGCTCAAGGAGAGCACTCTACCGCTTGAGCCATAGCACCACTTCTGGTTTTCTAGTGGTTTATTGGAGATAGAGTCTCACGGATTTTCCTGCCCGGGCTGGCTTTGAACCGTGATCCTCAGATCTCAGCCTCCTGAGTAGTTAGGATTACAGGCGTAAGCCACTGGCACCTGGCTTCAAGATAGTTTCTTTCTTTTTTTTTTTTGGTCCAGTCATGGGGCCTGAACTCTGGGCCTGGGCGCTGTCCCTCAGCTTTTCAGCTCAAGGCTAGCGCTCTACCACTTGAGCCACAGTGCCACTTCCGGCTTTTTTCTTTTTGCTTATGTGGTGCTGAGGAATTGAACCCAGGGCCTCAGGCATGCAAGGCAAGCGCTCTACCACTGAGCCACCTTCCTAGCCCCTCAAGATAGTTTCTTAAGGAGACATTTCTTTTATCTTCCTTCCTCACCACCAGAGCTAGACTGTTAGCAAACTACCGCGTCTTACAACAGAATAATATGTTTCCAAAGAGACCAGAACACAAAGAAATGAAGTTATTCAAAAATCTAAAAGGGCTGGGGTCAAGTGGGAGAGCACCGGCCCTGATTTCAATCCCCTAGGGCTGCCAAAAAGGAAGAATAAAACAGGGAAAAAAATCAGAATTTGGGAGATGTAATAGGATATAAAATGAAAACAAAGAATAAGACCTAGAAGTATACAACAAAAATGTTTAATAATATATATTAAATTGAAGTCCCAGGAGGCAAAAACAGTGAAAATTGGGTAGAAGTACTTAAAACAATAATCACAGAAATTTCCAAAACTGACCAGAAAATCTGCCACAAAAGCCCACAACAAAAACATCCCACAAGCCACAGATTCAGAAAGCCTTATGAAAATCCATATGGGATGCAAATGGCTCTATACTTTATAAGAAATTTAAATCTGTAAATACAGAAAAGCTGGGCTGGGCTTGGCATATACCTATAATTCCAGCTATATTGGAAAGACTAAAATAGTTGAATGTACATCAAGGAATGTGGTAGAGGGATGTGGCAGAAAGCAAGACCCTCTCTCAAAAACAACCAGTGCAAAAAAGCATTGTAAATTGGTAGCAGTCTCACTGGAAAGGATTTGGTGAGATTTCAGTAGTAAAAATGTGTATTCTCTGAGCCTATTAATCTCATATCAGAGAATCTCTCCATAGAAGTAAATTCGAATATGCAAAGGTTCATCATAACTTTATTTATAGTAATGAATAATAGGAAAAAATCAGCATATTCAGCAATGTGAAAATTAAGTAATTTCAGCTGAATTCTTTTTACTTGTGATTTTAAACTATGCAAAATATATGCTCATGGAAAATAAAAAGAAGAGAGAAAATCCAAACTGATTACAGTAGTTAGGATAATGGAAATAGAAATGCTTTTCTCCCTCCTTCTCTACTTTGGATTTTTTCTGTGATGCTATAGTTATATGTCATCCAGTAGTTTCTATCATTTTATCATAGTAAATTGAAATTGGCCCTTTCTCCCATAACTGGGTAATTTCTTGTTTTTTTTTTTTTTTTAAATCTATGTTATCTGTGCAAACTAAACTTGACAGCTTGTTCTTATGGTAAAATGCATATCTTTTATGGTGGTGATCTAGACATTTAATTATGATTTACTAGACTCACATTCCTACTGGAAGTTTACATTTAATATTCAGTTTATACTGTGGTTCTGATGTCTTTGGAGACTCCTTTTAATTTGAGGCATATGTTTAAATATCAAACATGAAATGAAATCACAGATAATCCATCAACTTCACTTTTTACAGAGAGGTTGAGAAAGAAAAGAATATATTGGGAGTAGAAACAGAAAAGCTCAAGATACTCTTGGAATTGTTGAGTGAAGATGAAATATGGGTTTTCCTGGTGCAGGACAGTGGCAGATAAAGGATAGATGAGGGGAAAGAAGAATGGAAAAAAAAGCTCGGTAGCTCTGTAAAGAGAAGACAGGGATAGCAGAAAGTATCAGAACAAGCTGAACAGATTGGGTTGCAGTGACAGCAGCATATCTGTGATTTAGTGACCGCCTAATGGTTGATAGAGAGATGAAACAGAAATTCAAGTTGAAGAGTTGTTCCCACTGAAGGCAGGCCTGCTTGGGCCATCATATTTCATGACACAAGAGAAGAAAATTGCCTCTTTGTACCTGCCAACCCAAGAGCGACTGGGAAACGAATTCATTATTTGGAAAGAAGTATCCCATATGGTGAACCTGTGTTGTCCTAAGACTTGTCCCCCAATTAGATACATTTACCATCAGTTACTTCAAACCCATGTTTTCATTTGGTTTGGCTTTTAGTATCAGGAACTTCAGGTAACTTTTTACATAAATGATATAATATTAAAACTCTGTGTATGCCCGTGTGTCAGTGTCTGTCCATCTGTCCAATAACTAGAGCTTCAACTTAAGACCTAGGCATTGTCCTTTAGCTTTTCACTCAAAACTGTCAGTCACTGTCACTTGAGCCACAGCTCTAGTTTTGACATTTTGATAGTTGGAGATAAAGAGTCCTATGGACTTTCCTGCCTAAGCTGGCTTTGAACCACAATTCTCAGATCTCAGCTTTCTGAGTAGCTAGGATTATACGCATAAGCTACCAGTGCCCAGCTGGGATTTTAAAAGTGTTGCTTACTTATAAAATGGTTCACTGAACATTTCTCAAATTTTTAAAAAGTTTGCCAAATATGATAAAAAATTAATTATGGATGCTATATTGACTCAAGATCTTTTGAAGTTTTCTTATCAGTTTAACATGTAAAATAAGTTTGTAGTAAAACATGAATAACATCACTGACTACAGTTTAGCCCTAGATGAATAGTACTAAGGACATGGAATGCATGCCAGCCACCTAAAAGCATCATTTCAGCTGAAGTGACTTACATTTTGAAATATGAGTAAGACTAACAAAATTGAAAAGCTTCACTTAGAGATGGAGGACCATGATTGAGACTAGGTTTAAGTTTTTGGAGTTATACAGTTTTCCCAAAAGCATTTTTAAAATTTTTTTTCGGAATAGTAAATTAGCATGTATACTTAGAAGACATGTTAATAACAATCAAATTCAATTTATTCACTTAAAGATTACATTTTTTTTTTTTTTGTGCCTGTCCTAGGGCTTGAACTCAGGGCCTAGGCACTGTCTCTGAGCTTTTTTTTTTTTTTTCGCTCAAGGCTAGTACTCTACCACTTGAACATACCTCTGATTATGGCTTCTTGATGCTTAATCAGAGAAAAGAATCGTGCAAATTTTCCTACCTGGACTGGCTGTGAACCTCAGTCCTGAGTAGTTAGGATTACAGACATGAGCCATAGACACCCAACAGACATTTTTAAATTGTGATGAAAAGATACGTACTATGACACTTCAAAAATGTCTTTATTTTTGTCCTAAGAATTGAACTGAAGGTAAGAAACATATATTGGGTAATACATTGCTAAATCCTGTGCTATCCCAAGTTGTATATGTGAAATCAGGTTCACCCTGGCAAGGTACCAGATGCCTACATCATCCTGTAATGACTATCTGCTGTAGACTGACTCTACTAAAATGCTGTGCCTTTAGATCTCCCTACACTTGTAATCTGATTCTCATGGATTATGAGGGTACCATATAAAAAGCACCATAGACTCCACATGGGAAAATTGAATGTGTGCTTCCTGATGATATATTCCTCTAAATTATATATTTGTATCAACTTACCATGAAGAGGAAATTCTGCTTAATCATTCATATTGGAGTGCAAATCAATTAATCTTCAACAGAGAATCAGACCACACACCCATGTCATTATATATTAAGAAAAACTTTGTCAATCTATAATTTTCATACTGCTCTGCATTATAAAGTTTCTATTAAGTCTTTCTATTTTGGATAATTATTTGATAAGCATTTCGTGTTCTCCAGATGTCTAGATTAGTGATTTGCCCCTGTCCAGCTCTGGGAAGAGTGCTACTCCCCAGGAGAAGGCTTGGAGCGGAGGTAGTTTTGTGAACAGCATGGCTTTCTGAAGCCTAACAGGATGCAGGAAATTACTCTGCAGGGTGTGGAAAGGAGATTCATCCCAGACCTAATACAAGCTCCTTTTAGATAATGGAAGCAGAATGCAGGAAATAGCCTCATAAAGTTAACTGAAATACCAGTCAGTAAGTCACAGAAGTAAGGTCACTTGGTACGAGTTCTGTAGAATACAAGAATTAAGTGACAGAAGGGGCAGGGGAGGAAGAACCATATATATCCCTGAATTTCTGAATGGCTCCTTCTAGGGAGAGGCCAGCTATTCCTGAGTGCTTTGCAGTTCTCTTTTTTTTTTTTTTTTTTTGCCTTGTGATATTGAGATGTCAAACTTGGAAATGTAGTAGTTAGGATTCAGTGAAGTTAATAATAGCACATTGGCAAAAACATTGTTTTTTTTTTTTTAGGTGTTCAGATAAAGAACGAATGTAAAGTTAGGTTACTTCCACAGGTTATTTTTACAAGCTCTTAATTAATTTCCTCTTTTTTTTTTTAAAAGTTTAGAATTTATCTGTTTATCAATGGCCTCTGATGGATTAATGTCCCTGAAAGTACTTTGTAAACTGCCAAGTATTGTTCAGGTTTCTGTTCCATTCAGAAAATTTGTATAGACTTGAAATGATACAGATATCAGTAAAAAAGCTCTTTAAGCATATTTTTGGATTATTTTTGTATCTTCGTTGTTTTGATTATTTGTTGTATTTCTTTAGAGCAAATCATTTGATTTCTCAGAATGTGGTCTCTCAGGGTGAGATCATTAGGAAGATCTGTATTAAGTACAGAGTGGTCAGTTCTGTGAGTCCTGTATATGTTATCATAAGGTTAGGGTAGCTGGGTGTGTCTGTAAATAACTTACCATCTATTGTCTCCTTATTGTTGGTTGACTCCCATGTTTTCTTTTTTGCTTTATACCAGAAGGGAAGGAGGGAAACAAATACAGCTATCCTCTCTTCTTGATGGTTCCTGGAGCCATGGATTCCCCAGGCTTATCCATGCTGCTTTTCCTAATACCATTTATTCTGCTTGAGCAGAGCATTTTCTCACGTTTACCCATTAGCCTTGCCTTCTGCTTCTGTTGTTCTTTTGTTTTTTTAATTTGCTGTTACAGTTTGTGTCCTAATGAAGCCTACATACTTGTGATAATTACTCTTTGCCTCTGATTTTGTGTGGTTGATATTTGTTGTGCTGTTTTTCCCCATACCCAGAAGTCAAATGGCATTTTGGCATGGTCATGCCTGTGTGTATGTTCCTCTTGTTGCTGACTAGAGGAAAAGCTGCTTGAAGACCATTTATGCAACTCTGTTTCTTATGCCCTCCCACAACACAGTGCTCTATAGATAGTGACTATTTACATTTTTTAAAAATTTTCACTTAGTAAAGATAGTTTTATAGGCTTATCTGATTTTACTTGATTGCAAGAATTAATGCCTTTTGAATACTGAGTTGTATAGAGACTTCAAAAGGTCTGTTCAGCCCTTTAGGAACATGTAGTTCACTATTGTATTTTGTATTGCGTTTGGTCAACTTTATAATAAGCACTAAGAATGAAATTCTTCAACCAACAAATTGATCTTGCCCAGTGCTCTTAAATTACTATCTCTGTACTGTACTAGAGACTTAAATATTAAGGACTCTTCAAATAGAATAATGGTACAATACTCATGATATTGTTTCATATTACTAATAGCACCTTGTATGCCTAGTAATCCTTAAGTTCTTTATATTTTGTTTATAAAATTGGCATTTAAAAATAAGGAATATATTTTATGGGAAATTAACACTATTGTAGTTTTAGTAATAATCTAAAATATTTTAATGGCTCTCTACATAAACAGTAATGCTTTTTTTCTCTCTCTAGGAAATGGATTTGTAAACTCAAGAGCTTCTCCAAATATGATTGGAAATACTGGTGCAAATAGTTTAGGCAAAGTCATGCCTACAAAGTCTCCCCCTCCCCCAGGTGGTGGCAATCTTGGAATGAGCAGTCGGAAGCCTGACCTTCGCGTTGTCATCCCCCCTTCAAGCAAGGGCATGATGCCTCCCCTGGTGAGCTGAACCTCTCCCAGCACTCTTTCACACACACATGTTTACACTCAGTTCGTATCTTCCTGTGGGATTGTGTATTCCTCCACAGAGTCCACATCGTAGTGTTACAACTCAGAATTAGCATTGTAAGACATGAATCTATTTTAATTGCACAAACATTGAATTATGAGAGCATAGGAAGTCAATTTGCTTAATAGTTATTTAAAATTAAAGGTAAATATGGAGAGCTTGTTATGTTTCATCTTAAATTTATCACACTAGGCACTTTGCTTAGACATTTAATTCCTAATTTATGAGTTAAACATGATTTATTTCTTTTCTGTACTTGGCATACTTTTTGTAATCTATTACATGCTTTTTCTGTGAGAGAAACACTAATTCATTAAAAATGTCTACACACCAAAGAAAACTATTGTAAAATATCTATAGAAAGCTGCATACACCCTTAAATGAGTTGTTCTCTGCATAGTGTCTTGGCATATTCCTTCTCAAATAACCTTTCATGTTACTCTAGAGGATGCTTTTGAATTGTGTGTTTGTATGTGAAAAACAGAACATTTTAATTGTCCTTAGCTTCTTGTAGAAAAAGTTAAGACTGTACATTCAGGTTTTACAACCATTTTAACCTAGCAGCTGTGAGTGGGTGAGGTACAGGTGAGGTACAGGCAGTCACTCTGCTGGCCATCTGTGACACTTGCTGTTTCAAATACTTGCTAAGTGGAAAGATGTTATCAGGTTTAGGCCCTGATTCTACATTCATATTAATGCCTTACAGATTCCTAAACTCCATCATATATGTATTCCTCCCTCTAGACACAATAGTAAGCCTGTGATTATAACTAGGGAGAGATGAAAATTGAGCTAAAGGCTAGTGTGAAATACAGCTGGGACCTTTACCTTTTAATCGGTTCAAGGCTTGATACTCTGTGTCAAATAGCAAAGAAATACTTATTCATTCGAAGATAACAAAATACTGAAAACCATATTGTTTTCAGCTTTCTAGTGAAAAAGAACTTCAACGTGTAGCATGTTCACAGTTGTCCAAAAGCCCATTGAGTGCTGAGATTTTAGGACAGCCATCTGGTGGGGAGGCTAGGGAAAGACAGATACTATGGGAAAGACAGTTTCCCTAATCAAAGGGCAGCTGGGGTGAAGTTCAAACCCAGTTTACTTTCCAGAAAATGAACTAAAACCCTGTACCACAAAACCAGCAGAAAGAAAGACATATAGACTATAAACAGTAAGAAGTAGTCAAGCTGAAATACAAAAAGAAGAACAAAAAATAACATCCAAGAACTGGGAGACTTTGTCAGATTACATTTAACATTTATAATTGGAATTGGAATTCCAAAAAGTAAACAGCAGGAGCAATAATACTTTAAGGAATAATAACACATACCAAATAGGATAAAAACTACCAGATATGCACATACATACACATACACCCAGACTGCCCAAAGCAAAAGGCAAAGATAAAAAAATCTTAAAGACAGCCAGGGAAACCAGAGACATGGCAAGGCACATTGCATAGAGAACAAAGATAAGAATTAACACCATAATTCTCTTCAGAAACTGCAAGCTGGGAAACACTGGAGTAATTTATCTAATGTGCTAAAATTAAAAATAAATCAATCTCAACACAGAATTCTATATCCAGCAAAAATGTTTAAAGGATGAAAGCAAAATAGACTTTCTCAAACAGAGATAATGGGAATTGACTGCCAAGGGATACACTCTACAAAAACACAATGTTAAAGAAAGGCCCCTGTAGATGGAGATGCTAACAAATACTGAGTCTTAGACAAGAAAGAGTGGAAATGGAATAAATGAAGATTAAATTACTTTTTTTCTGTTTACACTTTCTATAAACATTTTATTTTAGAACAGTTTTTAGATACATAGAAAGAATAGGGATGGGAATGTGGCTTGCCTGGCATGCATGAAGCCGTGAGTTCAATTCCTCAGTACCACCAAACAGTAAAAGACAGAAGTGGTGTTATGGCTCAAGTGGTAGACTGCTAGCCTTGAGCAATAAAAGCTCAGAGACAGTGCCCAGGCCCTGATTTCGAGCCCAGGACTGCCAAAAGAAAGAAAGAAAGAAAAAAGATGTATAGAAAGAATGCAAAGATGGCCAGTGAGTTCCCTTGCATTCTACACCCAATTCTTCTTATTAATATATTAGTATGGTACATTTGTTGAGTGTAACCAATGCTGATAGATTATTATCAACTAAAAGCCATATTTTTCAGAATTTCTTAGTTGTAACCTTATTTTCTGTTCAAGATCCAATCTAGGGCTGGGTGTTGGTGGCTCACGCCTGTAATCCCAGCTACTCAGGAGGCTGAGATCTGAGGGTTATGGTTCAAAGCCAGCCCAGGCAGGAAACTCCATGAGACTCTTACCTCACTAAATAAATAAATAAATAAATAAAAACCACTAGAAAACCGGAAGTGGCGCTGTGGCTCAAGTGGTAGAGCGTTCCCCTTGAGCTGAAGAGCTGAGGGATAGTGCCCAAGCCCAGAGTTCAACCACGACCGACCAAAAAAAAAAAAAAAAAAAAAATCCGAGCTAGGAAATAATTTGTTTTAGTAGGCATGTCTTCTTTGACTCTTCTTGGCTGTGATAGTTCTTAAAGCATTCCTTGCTTTTTAAGGAGTATTGTGTTTTATATAATGTTCTTCCATTGAGATTTACCTGATGTTTTTCATGATTAGTGTGGGTTTGTTGGTTGGAATGAGGAAGCCATACATAATAAGGTGTTGTTTTCATCGTGTCAGGGTTGGCCAGTCTCAACCCAACCAATTACTACTGATGTTAACTTGGCCACCCAGCTGATGAACTGTATGACTCACAGGTTTCTCTACTGTAAACTTACTCTTTTTCACCTTTTCACACTGTAGTCTTTGGAAGGAAATCACTCTACGCATGCTCTTAGGAGTGAGGAGTTACTCTCTACCTTCTTGATAAAACCATCTCCTTGATGAAAGTTTCTACAGAAATCAAAGTTTCTCAGTGCAAAAGATTTATCTGCTCTTCCTTACTTGTATAAATATGGGCTCATAAGCATTTATATTTTAGCTTATAGTGCAATACCACTTTTTTTAAAAATGCTGTTCAAATCATTCTAGCATTAGATTTTGGGAGCTGTTCACTTGGTTTTTATATCATATTGACATATCCTTAACCTTATGAAATTTGTAGGAATAGGGTAAATATTTATTTTCTGCCTCTTTTAATGATTTTTTTGCACCAGCTAAGACCCAGTCATTTCTCCAAGGAACCCTGGATCCTTTTGTTAGAGAATGGCACTAGAAACTAAGATCTGCATGTTTTTTCCCTTTTTTTAATTGTCCTAAAAGATAGCCCACTAGATAAAGCAAAATGCTAATTAATTTTGTGTCTACAGAACATGTAAAAAATATGACAATAATGGGTAGGAGAGAAGAATGGGGAAAAGTGTGTGTGTGTGTGTGTGTGTGTGTGTTTGTGTGTGTGTGTGTAAGTCCGTTGAGGAGGAGAAGTGAGATAACAAAATTTTCTTACAGTCTTCTAAAAAGAAGAAAAGTGAAAAATAGAAAACAGATAAAACAAATTTTTTAACAAGCAGCATAGCCAGGTGTTGGTAGTACATGTCTAGAATCTCAGCTATTCAGGAGGTATAAGTAGGGAAGATTACAGTTTGAGGCCATCCTGAGCAAAGTTAGTATGAGACCCTAACAGACAACCTCAAAAAAAAAATTGGTGGTGTGACCTAAGTGGTGGAGTACTTGTCTTACAAGTGCAAGACTCTGAGTTCAGTCCCCAGTACCATAAATGAGAACATACATTCCTTCACACTTGCATATACACATTGCATGTACAAACTTGCATACACACAAACACAGGCATTTGGGGTCCATCCACGGTCAGGAAAAGGATCTTGGTAGAAAGACTAGTGAAATCAGAAAACTTTCATTATTGCTGTTAGTTTAACAAGGCTTTGTGCTTATTTAGAATGTTACCCAGGGGGAACTGAAGTATAAGGAGCTCTCTTTACACTGCTGTTGTTTTGATCAGTTTGCACACATACAGAGCAAAAGCCAAAAACATAGCCCAAACAGAGGACATTTGGATGGCCATTTGGCTCACCTTAGGGACTGCATGTGCAAGATCGTTCAGAAATAGACTTAAGAGTTCCACTTTAATGAAATATGTTTATAAGAATTATTAGTGTTAGTAAACTGAAAAGTTTAATGCCAAACTACATTTGGGCATTTTAGACACTGCTGAATAAAATTATGTATTTTTTATTAAAGTCGTGAAGCCTCTGCAGGAAATGTCAAAATTGCTATGGAAACTATTCACACCCATATCCCTGTAGATGAATGTGAAAATTATCTATTTTACACACACACACACAGAGTGCTTGATGGTATTGTGATCTACATCCTCTAGTTAAGAGTATGTCCTCACTGTGTAACAGAAGAGCTAAAGAGCATTTAATATAGGCGAGGCACCAGTGGTTCATGCCTATAATCCTAGCTACTCAGGGAGCTGAGATCTGAGGATCATGATTCAAAGCCAGCCCAGGCAGGAAGGTCTGTGAGACTCCTGTCTCCATTAAAATACTTGAAAAGAGTGAGAAGTAGCAATGTGGCTCAAATGGTAAGAGTGCTAGCTTTGAGCAAAAGAAATTCAGGGGCAGCACCCACGCATTTATCTGCACTTGAGACAGCAGCAGCAGGTGGAGTAGAGTGGGTAGTCAGCCTCCCTTCTTCTGCACTGCGTTCATTTGCAGAGAAACAAGCCTGGAGACTGGGGCTTCATGTATCAATGTAGCTTATAATGACAGTACGCAGACTGGAAAAAAATCAACACAATTGCTTATATAAGTAAAATGAAAAAGAGAAAGAATGAGTAGACTTTCCAGCATAGTAATATTCTTCAAATGTTTAGAAGGAGCAAGTATGTCTCATTCATTTCTTTACCGTTCATGACTTATAAGTTCATTTCTTCCCAGTCTGTTTCCTTATATACATGCTTTCACTCTGCTACAAGTATTTCATTTATATCAAAGCTATTTTTTAGCTGGGCACCCGTGGCTCACGCCTGTAATCCTAGCTACTCAGGAGACTGAGATCTAAGGATAAGAGTTCAGAGCCAGCACAGGCAGGAAAGTCTGTGAGACGTTGATCTCCAATCAACCACAGAAAAAGCCAGCAGTGGTGCTGTGGCTCAAAGTGGTAGAGTGCTAGCCGTGAGCGACAAAGTTCAGGGATAGTGCCCAGACCCTGAGTTCAAGCCCTACGACCAGCCCCCCACCCCAAAAAAGAAAAGAGCTGTGTTTTGCAAATAATAACATACATAAAATGTTATTTAAAATGTTCATTTTTATTAACAAGTGTTTGAGTTCCTGTCATTTCATGACACTGGTGGCTCCTGTTAGAAATGGAGCACACAGTAGGCATCTTCCTCCAGGGAGCCCAGAGTCCAGCAGGAGATACAGGGGCTATGTGCCAGGTGTGGGGTAGTGATGGAGGATCGAGTTGTAAGTACAGAATACTCTCGGGACTCCCCACTACGGACTGCAGTCACGATGATGAGCTTTGTAGATGTCCCAGGAGCACCCCTGTGTGTAGAAGAAGTTAGCCTTTTAAGAGCAGATTGGGGACAGGGGGAAGGGGGCACGAGATTTAAGACCTACCCTAGAGAATTTTATTTCTCTTAGTTGTGTATATAATCATCTATGTAGAGTTCCAAGAAATTGCTCATGTCCAAGTGCTGTTTTCCTAAAGAAAGATTTCATTGCTAGTCCTGACAGTCTTAGTAACTCTCTTATTCCTCTTATGTGCTGAGTCCAGTCGGAGGAAGAGGAATTGGAGTTGGTGAGTGTGGGTTTCTGCTTGATTGGAGTTGAAAAAGTATATGGAAAGTACTAATTCTCATAAATGTGTTTTTTTTAACCAATGTTCCTTTGTTTACACAATATTTTTCTATTAATCACTATCCAAACACTGATTGAAGAAAGCAATCTTCTGGTGCTACATACTCTATAATCTGTCTGTTTATAATTATTTGTTGGAAGGAACATTGGAGTAGAGCCTTTAAAGACAGCTGTCCATGAGCACGGGACACTTGTTAGGTTTGTTTGTTTTTAAGACAATATGTGAAATACCTTATATAGCTCTATATGGCTCTTGAAATTATTGAAGTATTTTTAGAAAATGACTTCATCCTCAAAGTTCCTCAGATTGTAACAGAGTCTTGTGTTATTTCTCTTTCTTTCAAAGAGATTACATCATTTTTGGTGAGGTCACCTTTTTCAGAGTTGGAATTATTTCATCCTGCATGAGACAGTCTGAACCACAAGGGGTTCCCTGTTTACTAAAAGGAATATCTGTAATTGAACATACACAAATTTACTTTCCTAAAAGAAAACACTCTATCCTGAAAAGTAGCTTCTGTGACTTTTCCAAAACAAATGTCCTCTTTTGAATTTTCCTCTGGAAAATAAACTTGACTAAAAATCATTTACTTTTTAATTGGGAACTGAAACCCAACTTCAACTGTTCATTAGATGACTAAAAGTGTTCAGTTTTCATTATGGACAAGGCTAAGAATGCATGAGAGCATGAGGAATAAAGGCTCAATTGGTTTTATTTACATTTTACTATTACATGCATGCTGGTGTGTTTGCATGGTTTGATTGCTTTTACATAAGAAGAGATTGTTTTGTTTTTAGCTTTGTGATTAGTTTTGGATGTGGTTTCATATTGGTTAGCTTTAAATGTTATATTAGAATATATCATGAGTATATCTGGGGGAAATAATGTTTGCTTATTAATAAAAAATTTTATTCTTTATCAAAGTTTGGGGTTTAGATTGAAATAATTCATCTCGTATTAGCCCTCACTGTTTACCCTTAAGGTGTCCTAAAATGCATCTTTGAGTTATCTGGCACTATGTTGCCCCCTAGTGATTCAAAAAGTCACTTACTCACACAAAACCCTGTGCTGTTGAAATTAGGAATTTGAGGACATTTCTGACATACCACAGTAGCACTGCATGCAGGCAAGACAAGGATTGTTATTTTCCCTATATGTCAAATTACGGGTTCATAAAGACTGAATGATTTCCCCAGGCTTAGGAAGTAGTGAACCTGTCACTAAACCTCAGACAGTATGACACACACTGCATGATCTTTTTGGCATCCTCTGAGTCTAAAAAAGATAAACTAAAAGTAGTAAGCCAAGTTCAGTGGTAGAGTGCTTGCCTGGCACATTCAATACCCTGAGTTTTATCTCCAATGGACATGGAGAGAATGAAAGAGAGGAGGGAAGAACAAATGAATGAATGGAGATCAGGTTCCTCAAATGATTATTTTTCAAGTATTTAGCCAGACACCGTCATCTCATCCTTCTGAAAATGATAGATGAAGTCAAGTCATATTCTAACTCTTCAAAATCCCAGAGCACTGAGATGCACTTTCATTGTTGCTAGACTCTGAAATATCAATTATGTAACGGTAACTTCATTTGTATAAAACACTTAAGTTGGAGTTGTGCCTTGACCTTCTTGCATACTAACTGTGGAATTTGTTCTGTTGCTCTAATGTTTGGTTTTGAAAAATGTTACTTGTAAGTCTGTAAGGAGAAATTGAGTCTATCATATTCCTACACTTAGAAGACTATGGCTATCTGACTATCTTAAGCCAGCTTGATTGTTTCATAGTTTTCTTGTTTTCTTCATTTTCAATGTGGCATCTTCTGTGTAGCTGCAATCAGTGAGCATTTAATAGTGATGTGTTTGCTTCCCTATCAGCAGTTCTTTATTTCAAAGCTCCTTACTGAAAGCTTCTCATTTAAGAAGGACCAGTGGAATACATACAGATCTGGCTCTACTGTTTAAAAACAAAATAGGCCATGTGCAGAATCAGAACAGGAGAGCAGAATACAAGCTGCACTTACTTCCTAAGCCCCAACTCCAAACCATGTTAATACATCAGTGCTGCAAAGACAGACCCTCGTGGTTCCTATGAACTTGGAATCCCTATGTATACATGTGACCTTTGTTCTCAGCATCGAAACTTGCACACTTTTCATTTAAAGGAGCCTAGAAATGTTTGCAGTGACTTCCAAGTCCTCAATGTACTAACACATAAAGTGCTAACTCTCAGAAGGCCAGTTTCTATTTTAAGGCTGTGCCTCTGACATTCATAAACCATATTTTAAGAAGGAAAAGTGGATAATTAATGGAAAAACAGGCCTCTTGAAATTATGTATTTAATTATTCCCATTAGTATTATATGGAAATAATGATGTTCACATAAAACCGTGAAAAGTATCACATTTAAATTGAAAGTTACTTGAAAAGTAATGAGACTGAACCTAAGCGCACGTAATAACACTTACTCTTTTCTCTGATCTCTCACAGAATACCCAAAGGATAAGCAGCTCTCAAGCCACTCAACCTCTCGCTACCCCCGTGGTGTCTGTGACAACCCCAAGCCTGCCTCCACAGGGACTCGTGTACTCCGCCATGCCGACGGCCTACAACACTGGTGAGCACCCCAGGCCTCTTCCGGCCTTTGCTGTCTCTGTCTTCTGGTTCATTTGTGCTTCTGTGGGGTTTATGACAACTTTACATGCATTGAAATAAACCACCTCTTAGCTTATTAGATTCAAGTTTGAATGCATTAAAAAAAAAAATACATCCTAGCCTGTAAAAGTTACAGAGCATACATTGACAGCAGGATGAGTTGACAGCGCCCTGCCAACTCATGGGTGGCAGTGCCCTGTGTGTGGCTCAGGTATTGTCATATAGTGTCTCACCACACAGTACCTTGCTCTTCTCAGCTTTGGGGAGGCGGAGGGGTGCGGGGGGAGGAGGAAACTGCTTGTCTTTGTGTTTTGGAAAAGACTTGAGTCCCTTCTGGGACATGGCAGTTACTAGGCTAGCTGAGAAAGCCTAAGTATGTTTTCCTTCCATAACTACTCCCATGGTCTGGCACTGCCCCTGATGGGTAAAGCAAGGACCCCAGCCAGGCACTCTTTCTTCCTTAAGAAGAGCTTTACCCTCATTGGTGTCTACTTACACAGCTCCTCTTAAAGTGCCCATATGTGGGGGCTTGTAGGAAGGTGTGAGCATATCAACAGTGGTGGGAGCGGTGCAGTGCGGAGAGCCGCAGTGTGCAGCGGTTTCCCTGGACTGGCCTGTAGTTTCCCTCTTGCCCTACCTGAGCCAGACACCTGTTGCTTCAAAGGAGCAAGGAAGAAGGCAGTAAATTACGTCTTGCCAGCTATCCTGAGACAGCACTGCAGGGAAGTTACTCTTTTATGATTCTAAGTACACTGTGGTAGAAATCAACTAATCTTAGCCCTCACGATAACTGCTTTGGCATACTGCTCCTGGACTGCTGCTGTCCGGAGCTACCTGAGCTGAGGGAGAGCAGTTGACATGCTAAATTACCATTTTAATTCAAGCTCTCACTCCTTTAAAACAGAAACAATCTGAAAAGGTTTTCTGAAAAAGAAAAGACTTACAGAAAATACCCACTACTTTTTTAGCAGTCAGTATTAAAAAAAATGCCAAAGGGGCTGGGATGTAGCTCAGTGGCAAAGCATTTGCCTAGTGAGTACAATGTCCTGGGTTCGATCCTCAGTACCATAAAACAAAAAGAGACCAAAGAAAAGTTTAAAATGAACCATTATGCCATGCCACATGTCTCCGTGTTCGTGTCCTGTCTTCTGTCTCCTGGCTCTCCTCTGGTCACCATGGCAACCCACTTCAGTTCTCCATTGGAGCTGATCTGGCTGGTTGGTATTATTTGTCTGCTTTTTCTTTCCTCTCCGGCTCTCATGGATCAGTTTTCTGACAGTGGTGTATTTGCGGGGCTGCTGGTCTTTGAGACAGGAGACCACTGTGCAGTTGCTGGCTTTTTTTAAAATAAAAACTCCCTATTTGATTGTTCAAAAAAAAAAAAAAAAAAAACAAAAAGGGAGAATGCCAAAATTTATCAGCCATAAACTAGCTCAGGGTCTGTGAATTATATTTATGACTTACACAGCACAGGTTCTAGAGTAAAGCCAGAGATTAAACATTGATAGAAAGTCGTTTCAGTACATGAATCACCTGCTAAAATGAGAGATACTGTGCTAGGAACATGACTTTGCTCTGAAGTTTATTTTCTGTAAGGAGAGAGGAAATAGTTGGCTGTTCCCCCTGGGGAGAGAGGTGCAGTACTGCTGAGCTTTTGCGTTTATACTCTGAAACTGAGAAGTTAGCAAAGGAGTTGCTCAGAGGCTAGATGTTCAGAGACCGAAAAGTAGAGCTGGAGTGGGTGTTAAATAGGTTGCATGTCATTACAGGCTTGTCACAGTACTCATTCAACTATACTGGATTGTATAAACACTATTAGATTAGAAAGATATTATATATATTTATTTACATACAATAAATTGCTGTGTGTATATATTTTTCTAAAGTCAAAAAGGATTATAGAAACATATAAAAATGGAGTCAGGCCCTCTTAAAATCATGTTTCCCCTGGCTTCAGTCTAATTCTCTATCTCAGAATGCCTATTCTGCTTGGCTTTACCCTAATATCTTTAACGTATTTGCCTTTTTAAAACACTTATCCTTTTTTTTTTTTTTTAACATATCACCTACTTTTTGTAGATATTTATTGACAAATTCATGTCAGTCAGAAGCTAAAGGGATGAATATGAAGAAACTGAAATAAAAGTGAAATAGTGTCCTCAAGGAAACCCTGTAGAACATCTCATGCTGCTGAGGTAGCGTTGCTCCCAGCGACAAAAGGCATTCGTGCAACTGTCCTGCGAATGTTTTTTAGACACAGCATGGCAGGTGCTCTGCTGAGTACTGGGAACACACAGGTCCGTAGTCAGCAAGTGGAAAGCAGTGTTGTCATGAGGAAGACGCCTGCCAGCCAGGACATGGTAACAGGCTCAGGACTTAGCCAGACAGAACGGAGAGAGGGCTGCAGGCAGGGCAGTCAGGCATGAGACTGGAGAGGAAGTAGGCATTTTGGGGCCATGTTGTAGACTTGGGACATTTGGCTGCTAAATAAGAGTGTTATGATCATATTTTGTTGTATAGAAACAACACTTTGGCTCTGGTGTCTCTAAGGACTAAGTGAGCAGGAAGCCATGTGAGAGTCTAGTATGATACCATGGTCTCAGTAGCAATGGCTGGGAGACAGGGAAGCCAGCTGACCTGAGCAACAGTAGATGGAGCTGAGCAGACCCAATGGCTGATGGTGGGGCGTGAGAAGTGAAGCCAGCAGTATCACACCACAGCTTTCTGGCACCAGCCATCGGTGTGTGTTAGCGTCACTTCACCACTTACAGAGTTCTGGAGTGTCTAAGGAGGAACGTGTGAGGGCAGTTGGGACATGTCACATTTGAGGAGTGGAATAGCATCCAAGTGGACATGCCAGGTGGACCTCTGGGAAGGCCATGAGTTCAGGGGAGAGTGGTAGGCTGGAGAGGGCTGGAGCGGGCATCAGTGGAAGGGGCCAGCTGACACACTCTTAGCTTGAAGTCCCAGAAAGGACAGTCCTGAAAGACCCGTGTACCAGCCATGCAGCTTCAACTTAGTTTCTTCTTCTTTTCACAAAATGCTAATTCACTAGGCAGACCAACTTCTCTGAACACCTCTCTTGAGACTGAGAGAAAAGTTAAAAGTAGAAGAGTTTTTGCCACCTGTCTTTGGAACTAAAGGGAAAAGCCAAGTGCTAATGATGAGCTGAAATAACTCTATGTGTGAGTGATAACTAATAAGGCTCGGTCACAGTTAATTATGACTAAGGCATTCGTGTCAAATACTCTCGTGACACAGTTTTTCATAACTCCAGCATGATCAAGCATGCCATCCAGAAGCAGTCCTGAAAATGAATGCATTTAGTTCTGTGATGCCTTGTCTGATATCGGCCACTAAGCCTGGCACCTGCGGATCGACTGTGTCTTTCCTGTGCCCCATGCTTCTTCAAGCCTTCCTGATCCAGATTCAGTCTGGATAAGCTCCACTGTTGCTTCTTGTTCCAATATGATATGGCAGATGTGTTTATTTAAAATAACACCGCCATAGGAACAGTCCAGGAGAGCCGCCTTGTCTTCCTCTGCAGATTACTCGCTGACCAGCGCTGACCTGTCGGCACTGCAAGGCTTCACCTCCCCAGGAATGCTGTCTCTGGGGCAGGCATCGGCCTGGCAGCAGCACCACCTCGGACAAGCCGCCCTCAGCTCTCTTGTGTGAGTAACTGGCTGCAGTCTTCCCCTCTCAGACTGTTCATGTCAATAACCCTGCCACAGACATGGGTATGAGAAGATACTTTCCCAACATGGCACTAAATAGTAGCTTAGATGCTGAGCAAACCGGGCATTTCTTGAAGGAGTTCAGGGAGTGAGTCTTTTCTTTCCAGACATACTGAGGTAGATACTCAGCTGGTATCCATGGTGCAGATGCTACCCACACATTCCTAAGAACTGAAGAGAAAGTGGCTTCCTCACCTGCCCACCAGCACCTGCCCCTGACTCTGCTGCCTACAGAAAGCAGCTCAGTGCAAAGGCGTGCAGACTCCCCTGCCCACCTTCCCTGCTGCACTGACTGTCTGGAGAAAAGGAGAGGAGGAGAGGGAGACGAGCATGTGTCTGTCTTTCCTCCCTTGCTCTCAGGGGAGGAGAAGTGGGATCTCTGTGCTGTTGGGAGTCAGGGTCCATGAGGGTCACGTAAGTCTCAGCCCAGTGCCCTCACCATACCTCATTCACAAAAAGAGCACTGCTGCGGGCAGGCTGTGAGGACATGGGAGCAGACTGCTGCGCAGCACGGTGAAGGAGCCGGCCTGCGTTGAAGCAGGATGATGTTAGGCCTGTGGGCGTCGTAGCGTAGCATAGCCTAGCAGACTCCGCTGGCTGCCTCACACCTGCTCCAGGCAGCAGGCCGCCCTGGCCTCCCAGCCTCCTGCCCAGAGAATCTCTAGAGGGCCTCATCTGAGGAAACGCATCCTCCCGAATCCTGAAAGAACTCTGCATGCATGTTATATCCAGTCATTTCCTCAGTTATGTCACTAGGAAAGGAGCAGAGTAATTCAGCCAAGTTCTTGCCTAGACAACCGCTGACCCTCACAGCTGTTCTGAACATCCTAAGTCAGGCACGCAGTGTGCACCTGTGGTCCCAGCTCCTGAGGATCCCAGGAGTTGGTGACTGACATGAGCAACAGAGTGAGACCCAGTCCCCCAAACTCAAAACAACTAACAAATACAAAAGGTCCTGAGAGAGCACATGGGAAGAGCTCGGCCCCGACCAGCCTTCCTGTCCCATTCAGCGTTCCTCAGCTTTTCTGAGACGGCTGCTTTCCGTGGAAAGTAAGCGTGGTAATAATTTGCACCTCTCCTCCGAGTCGTGAGACTAGCTGAGATGCTGTGCCTGCCACAGGGCGAGAGCAGAGAAAGTGCCGAGCGGGGAGACAGAGGACCGATGCTCCTCTGTCTTTTCTGGGCACAGAATTAGACACAAACTGTTTTGCAAAACTGCCAAGGATATAGTTGGGGAGATGCAGTTTCTTCTTGAAGGAAGGAGATGGCAGAGCCAGCCCTGGCGTTGTGTCAGGATTTTAGGCCCTGGACTCTCCTCAGGCAAGCAGTGTCTGCAGTACCATTGTGTGACCCAAATGCACTCCCAAATGACCTCCTCTCTCTTGTTCCCTCAGCGCTGGAGGCCAGTTATCTCAGGGTTCCAGTCTGTCCATTAACACCAACCAAAATATCAACATTAAGTCAGAACCAATCTCACCTCCCCGGGATCGAATGACCCCCTCAGGCTTCCAGCAGCAGCAGCCGCCGCCACCGCCACAACCTCCCCAGCCTCAGCCCCGGCAGGAAATGGGGCGCTCCCCGGTGGACAGTCTGAGCAGCTCTAGCAGCTCCTACGATGGCAGCGACCGGGAAGATCCACGGGGGGACTTCCATTCGCCGATTGTGCTTGGCCGACCTCCGAATGCTGAGGACAGAGAAAGCCCCTCTGTAAAGCGCATGAGGATGGACGCGTGGGTGACTTAGGGCTTCCGGCTTGCATTTGTACTTGTGCTACCGCAGTGAACTGCCCTACATATCTAAATTGGTAAATAAGGACATGAGTTAAATATATTTATATGTATATGCATACATATATATCCCTTTCCATATATATGTATGCGAGTGTGAGTGTGTACGTGTGGGTGTGTGTTGCAGACACAAAATCAGGCACTTACTGCAAACTCCCTGTAGGTCTGCAGATGTGGGCACATCTGCAGATGTGGGTCCCCGGCAGACAAAGCACCCTGTAGGCACAGACAAGTCTGGCACTTCCTTGGACTACTTGTTTCATATGGTAACCAGTTTTTGCAGAGAAATGTGTACCCATATATAATTCTCCCACACTAGCTTGCAGAAACCTAGAGGGCCCCACTTGTTTTATTTAACTGTGTGGTGACTGTAGTTACTTCAGAAAATGCTTTGTAGAACAGAGCAGTAGAAAAGCAGGAACCAAGAAAGCAATACTGTATATAAATGTCGTTTGTATTAATTACCCAACCTGGCATGGGTCTCTATTGCAAAGAGGTGCATGGAAAAGGGCTGTTGATATTAAAAACAAACAAAAAAAACAAAACAAAAAAGCCCCACACATAACTGTTTTGCACGTGCAAAAATGTATCGGGTCAAAGAACTGATCTTTAGCTAAATAAAAAGAAAGAAAGAATATAAAACACGCATGAGATATGCAGAAAATACTAGCCTAGAAATATAGAGCATTAACAAGATAAAATTAATATATTAAGTTATAATTGGAATATGTCAGAAGTTTCTTTTTACATTCATATCTTAAAAATTAAACTGATTTTAGCTCATGTATATTTTATATGAAAGAAAACGCCCTTATGAATTGATGATTATATATAAAATTATATTCACTACTTTTGAACACATTCTGCTATGAATTATTTATATAAGCCAAAGCTGATGTTGTAACATTTTTTTTTTTAGAAAATAGCTTTATCTTGTTTTGACTTTTTAGTTTTTATTTTAAGAGGGGAGGAAAAAAAAAACACAAAAATATCTTGCAAGCAGAACCTTGGAAAAAAAAAGCCATGAACACTTATTATTCTATATGTAAATTAAAATTGAGCCAAACTCTTTTGTGTACATAGCATCTTAAATATATTATCACCTTTGATGTAAGTACCTATGTATTGTATGGTCACCAGATTAAAAAGTATATTTTTGTGGATTGCCGCCAATTTGGGGGGAAAAGGCGAAGTCCTTATTAAGTAGAGTATTCACTGTTTAATATTTACTATTTTGTTAAATATACTGTACTTTGAATTTTAATTATTAATTAGCCCAGTTTTTTCAGAGGATTGTATAAAGGGGTTTCTCCCCTCACTGGTGGTGAATGTGTAACGTTACGTTGTAATCTTTGTGCTATATGGGGTGAGCATCATTATATATTTTATATGTGTACATAAATAGCAAAGTGGCAGAAAAAAATTGGTGTTAAGTTCATCCTGCATAAATATAAAACGTGTTGTAACAGATTTTATAAGGCATTTAAAGCTTGCCTTTTGTGAGGAAGAAAATATAGTAGAAAAAGATGACCTAATTTAATTAATATTAGAAAAATGGCAAAATAGTAGATGAGCACAAAGGTTTTCTCAGTGGTAACTGATTAGGGGAAAATATTCACAGGGAAAGGAACTGTTTGCTGACGCTCTTAACACGGAATGGCGTCGCTCGTTACCGAATGCACTACTGCACGCCCCTCTGTTCTCAGGCCTGGCCCTGGAGTGGGGGAGCAGCTCCAGTGCAGACTCCAGGTGTGACCTGCCAGCCCGCCTGAGCTCAGTGCCACCCTCCATTTGCTGAGGGCAGTCCATTTGCCTTCTGGGCTTGTGCCATGAATAGAATTCAAAGTCCTGTATAGCTTTTATTGTAGATTTTTAAATACGCCTTTTCCTGAGAACCTTAAAAGAAGGCCGAGTAATTGCTGCTATTTTATATTTTAAACTTAATGTCGAGCAGCTACCTACAATTTGTACTACACTTTATTTCCCCTAAGTGATGTCCTCCTGACATTTTCCTCATCTGATGTTTGTGACAAATCATCAGCTCCTTCCTGACCGCGGCAGCCCGTGGCTCTCACGGGCTGCTGAGATCCTGTTGTCATGGCAGTTTCCACAGTAAGTTTTGGTAGAAACAGAGGAGGAAAGGGGATGATACACTGTCTCCTCTCATCAGCATAGACATTTGGCTCTTATTCTGGAAAAAAAATCATTTTTCTTTTTAAATGTACTTAATTAAACTACTTCTAGGCATATTTTCTTCATGAAGTCATCCCTCATTGAATCAAGACAGTCTCCCAACACGGAATATCCAAGATAATCCTTACCACTTTGTAAACCATTTATAACTTTGGAAGTGTTAAGTGATCCTTTTGTTATTATTTATGCATGTTCATGAACTTCTGCTGTATATTGGAATAGGAGTTAACACATTCACATTTACTGTCTATTTTCTTGTGTGCCTTATGAGATGGCTTTTCTGACTGTATCTTACTAGTCTTTCTTTCTATGCAGGTTTATAATCAGTACAACTACTGTTTTTTCTAAAATTCTATTACACAAGGCTCGGAGTTTGTATTTAAATTATACTGACCAAGTAACAATGTATTCCGTTTTCAGGAACTGAATCTTTGACTGTTAACCTTTTTTCCCATACGCCCAAGTATGATTTTTGGAGCGTATGGACTCGACAGACATCCTTCACCCAGACGCCCATGTGTGAACACATCCACATCTACATGTCTCAGTAGAAACCAACCTAAGCAAGGAAGACACTGACGGGTGACTTGAGAACCAGTCCTGTGACCCTTTTAGACTCGTGTGTTTTGTAGAAGACACCACCACAGGAAAGTCCTATCCCTTCAGATGAAGTATTAGTAAAACTAAAACAACAAAAGCTTCCATGACCCTGGCTCAAGGCAGCCCCCAGCAGCTGCACTTCCCGCGGTACCCTGCGTGGTTCAGCACTGAGAATGGAAGTCTCCTTGGGGGGAACACAGGTGGTCCCAATCAGAACTCCATCTTTTGAGCCCTAATTATGTCCATTGTGTTAGTGACTAAATCAGGGGTTTGTTCGAAGAGAACAATTCATGTTTTGCCATTTCCTTTTAACAGTAAGGACAAGTAATAATGCATTCACATAATTTCTGTTTTCACCATCGTGCACACAAGAAATACATAGTAAATAAGGAACCTGAAAACTCCTGGCATTGGCTCATTAAAAAGCTAGATAATTAGAATGTGAAAAAAAAAGATTTTACAAATGTAAAACTTTTATTTCTCTGTAGAAACTTTCTTCACTTTGCTGTGCAAGAAGACACTGCTTTGCTATATTTAAAATGGCTTTTTTAAAAAAAGAGATTTATGTATTTGGTAATTGTTTGTAGTCAACAGTTCACACAAGAAGCTGTACACGGTTTGATCATGGAAAACCGTTTGGCGGCACAAGCTGGACTTTGTTGCCATCCTTGAGATGAACCTTTTAAGAAAAATAAGTTAATCTCAATTTTTTCCCTGAATGTGTTGTTTTTTCTTCATTATACAATAAATATTATAGTGAACTTTTTATCAAATGGTTAAGACGATGCTAGAGGTTGCTGTGAACTGTTTGTCTCCTGCACTCACCCAGTAAAGACAGCCTGACTCTTACCGCACACCCAGACTCTGTCATGTTTCCCTGGGGACCAGTAGACACTGGCTTGGCCACCAGGCAGCCCTTTCCCCCACCACTCTCCTTTTCCTGTGCTCTCATGAGGTCCTTGGCCTCGTTTGGAGATGCGCTTAGGAGACTGCCCAGAATTCACCAGGCTCACCCCACACGCAGTGTTAGGCAGAACTGGAGCCCTCAAGAAGCAGCCAGCCACCCCGCCCTGGGGTGTGGGGTTAGCCGGGGTATTGTCTTTTCTGATGTGGATCAGTTGCAAACTCATTGAGGCTCCAGGGACACAAGAAAACCTTGAGAGTGTGTGTTGGGGGCAGATACTGTCAGCAGTTACACTAGATCCATTTAGCTTTAGAATTCAGAAGTGAAACAATTTGTCCAGTTTACATATCAAGGAAGAAGCACCAGAAGGCAGCTTTATTTGGGTACGTACATCTCAGTGGACATCTTTCTTATTCATAGCTATTTTAAAAAATGAAAAACGTATCTAACCTTAAAATTGGAAAATTTATTCTTCGTCTCATTTGTTTTTGTAAACGCTCTGAGCTAGGCAGATTCTTGGGTGTAGAGGTAATCCAAGCTAAATTTTTGTACAGGTTTTCCCTGACTGTAGTGAGGCTCTTGTTAGATGGTTTAGAAAGCTGTTTGAATCCTGTGGCTAAAACTGGCTACCGTGAAAGCTCTTTAATCAGTTCACTGCAGTCAGGCACTGGTGGCTCACACCTGTAATCCCAGCTATTCAGGAGGCTAAGATCTGAGGATAAAAGTTCAAACCCAGCCCAGTTAGGGAAGTGTGAGACTTTTATCTCCAACTACCAAAGAAGCCAGAAACTAAGTGGAGCTATGCCTCAAGTGGTATTCTTGAGCACAAAAGCTCAAGGACTGCCCCGGCCCTGAGTTCAAATCCCAGAATTAGCACCAAAAACAAGAGCAAAAATACTGCAAGTTCCTAGTCTGTTCTCCACCCTCGGGCGCCGTGCCCAGGGTGTTACCATAGGTTGTAAGTGGTAGCAGCCTCCATGATACCTTTCAGTTGGAGACCTGCACCATAGTTCGTTCGTTTATCCAGTGTCTCACAGGTCTGCAGGTCTGCTTAGTTGTGGGTTTCTCCGATGTTTCTCCTGGACTGGCATGAGATTGTATATTTGGGCAACATCATCACAGCAGTGATATGTCTTTAGTGCACCATGGAGGTGATGGGGTCGGTCTTCTACTACAGGTGGATAACCTTCATCTCATGGACAGCCGATTTCTACCATCTTTCCCTTTGTAATGGTAAATATCTTCTCCAAGCTACCTACACCATGAGAAGATAGTTTCTCCATGAACGTTCACCCACTGATGAACCATGTCCGTAGTCATCGCCTGTTTTCGTCCAGTCATATCAATTGGAGATCTACGGTAAGGAATGAGTATCTGTGTTTCATGGATTTGTTTTAATGTACTATTTTCTTCCTTACATTGTCCCAGCTCTGGCCACCAGGAACTCCACCAGGTAAGACCTGCCTCTCCCAATCCCAGGTGCGTCAGATTCCAGTTCACAGGTTTGGTTTGTCTGCCTTTTTTACTTGTGGCTTATTTCTCTCACAGTAAAAAAATCTAGTTCTTGCTAGCGACAGTGTCTCTTACTCAGTTCAAATATATACATAAACCAGTTCCAGAGCCGCCAACTGAGACCTGTGTGAGGAATGCACATTTATTCGTGAGGTGGGAGATCTGTGTAGTTGCAGCTTTTTTGGTTTGGGCTTTTTATTATCCAGTGTTTTCCTTTTGTGCCAATCCTCCTCCCCCACCCCACTCAGTGTGTGTTGCACATTTAATACAGTTGGGCTCAGCCATTAGTGTTCTGATATTATTTTAAATTTGTAATTATGTATAGGCTCGTTACCCATATCAGTACTCTATTTCCAAGCTAGATATACAAGATGATTGTCTGAGGCTTGGCTTATTGGGATTTGGGGAGCAGGTGGGGTGGATGAGAGAAGGGTGGAGGGGTGAGTCTGGGTAATGCACATTGGATGCATGTGGGGACGTGTCCACGTGAAACCTGAACAATGGTCTGATGCTAAATTAAAAAGAGGGGGCCTTCTTTTTTCCTTCACAAAGAAAGTTATTCCAGTGGCAGAAAGTAACAGAGACATCTGTTCTTTGCTTACTCCTTGCAAAAGCCATCCCCCCACCCTCCCTCTGACTGGTGACAAATGTTAATAAGAGACCTGTGGCACTCAGCACCGTGGGCACAGGCTGAGTTGGAGGAGTATGTATGTGGCCCAAATGGTCCCTGCACCCAAGGTCACCAGCTCATTTTATCCTGAAGATCATTTTGGTCTCTAAGAAAACACTTATTTTGAAGACGCTCACTGAAGCCCGGGCAAGCCGTCTTTTTCCACAGAGACAGCAGTTGGAAACCTAGCTCAAATGCTGGTGGCCCCTCCCTACACTTGGTGAGACCTCAGGTGTCAAATGCCGCACTTGTGTCCCAGGATCACATTCATGTAGGGTTTTCTCCAGCCACCTCACACCTTTCCTGCTGTGACTCAGGAGGCCAAAGCAGCCCAAACCTGCTCTCCTACGATGGCAAACCTCAGGTGTCAGGTCTCTTTATGGCTTTTGATGGCCACAGCCATCCTGTGGTGTGGATCTTCAATGTCTCCCAATGACCCTTATGTGTTAAAGGCTTGGTCCTCAGCTTGGCCAACACCACTAAGAAGTGAGGGGACCTAGAAGGGGTGACGGGAGAGTCACGGGGGCATCCCGGAGGGGGAGTCTTGGGACCCCAGCCCCTTCCTCCCTGTCTCAGCTGTCATACTCCCTGCCACTTGTCACCCAATACAAACCTCAAAGCCAGTGAAATCAGACCCAAACAAGCCTTTCTGCCTTGTGAATTGTTTATATCAAGTATTTTGTTACAGTAACAGAGAGCTGAGCACCACACCTGTCCAGCCCCTTCTTTAAATATCTCCTCTTTTAACAGTTAGCTACACTGCTTAAAAAGGGTTACTCTAGGGGCAAGGCCTCAGACGGAAAGGGCTAAACCATCTTCTGGCTCTACGAACGGAGCCAGGGAAGCAGCGGGAAGAGAACTCTGCTTTGCGGGCACACAGGTTCCTCCCTGATGCCAGCCAGGCAGCTGCTCGGCCTTGGGTTGGAACAGGCTAGAACCTTGGTGACTGGCAATAAGGCAGCAAGAGCTCCTTCCCAGACGCCACCTGAGATACTGCAGGTGGCCATGGGGGGGGGGGGGTTGTAAAATGAGGATTTCTTGTGAATGAGGACAATGGCTCCTGGGTGCGTGGATTACCTGCTCTCAAAGTACCAGGGCTAGAACCAGTGCTTACCCAATCAGTGGTTTGGGTTGAGGGCCTTTTCAATCCTAGAAGTGGCATTCCCCTCTACAAGGCTCGCTGAGGGGAAGTAGGGCTCGTGATGGTTTTAACTGGGTGACGGGCAGTACTTTTCCATAGCACTTGTGGGGCGGTGACACCAAACAACCTCCTAGCCCCTCCATAGCGGGTGGGGAACACCACGACCGCTACCTGTGACCCAACCCCGCGTGTCCACACAGCAGGTGCCCTGGCAGGCCGGTCCTTTCCCTCTGAGCACTGCCAACCTGCCAGGTGTCACCAAGAAACTGCGACTAGTCACCTGTCAACATCTCTCCTCCTGCATCTCTTTGGGTAGCCCGGGGGGGGGGGGGGGAGGGGAAGGAGGGGGATGGTCTTTGATCAGGAGAGGCCATTTCTCAGGGTCCAGTTACCATCCAGAGCACCAGGAAACAAAATGCAGCCTTGCCCCCAGCATGTGGCCAACAAGAACTGACGCAGAACACAAGCCACCTGCTAAAGCTGGGCCGATTCTCGAAACCCGAGAGCTTAGGTCCTTGCCTGGGAGAGGTGGCTGAGCTGGCTGGCTGAAGAGGAGGTAGGCGCAGGACTCCCTAACCCGGGGGCCGGTCCTGCAAGTGCGCTCAGTGCCATGGAGCCATTGGGGTTGGCAGTTGTGTTCAGGCTAGCAGGGGTCTCCCTGGTAGCCTGGATCTTAAAATAGACCAGATAAAACACAGGCAGAACAATCCCAACGAGGAGCATGAGGAAAACAGCGTTCCACCACTGGATACCCCAGTCGGCCCCGTCTGCTGGGGTCCTGGGCGGAGCTGGGAGCAGTGGCTGGTCGGGGGTCTCCACACAGTAGCTCTCACTTAGGAAGACCTCCGACTGCACTGCGCGCTCAATATTCTGGTCGATCCCCTTGAAGAAATCTGTCAGGTGACTGGTGTGCGCCTGCGTGGCTGTGTCCCCACAGGCAGCTGGTCCCTCTGCATCCGGGAGTTCCACGGTTACTCTGGTGTCTGAGGACGGGGCGAGGAGCGGTTTGAGTTCTCTGTGGGTCTCTGTTAGAATCCCATGGTTTTGCACTGGAATCTTGATCGCCTTCAACGCGTACAAGTCTTGTTCTCTGATGAAGTTGTTGGCTTTCTTGATATCTGCTACCTAGGAAGCCACGAAGATGCACACATCAAAATACACGTGAAGATAATTAAAACTGATCTGGCCCTGAAACCAAACCTGGCCAAGTTCAGGCCATATCCTCCCCAACCAAGACTTGAAGCATTTATTTGGAGGCTTTTACTCTTAGTGAAAAGCTCACTAATCGACAGATCTGACATTAGTCTTAGAAACTTCATAAAATGTGGCTTCCACTAAAAAAAAGCTTTTAGAGGTGAAACAGTCATAGCCCTAAAATGAAATGACTGTAGCCTCTTCTGTTTCTCTTTGCTTGGGAGGCAACAGTAACTTTCTATGATTTCAAGGTCACCGGGGAACTGAAGGAAAGAAACAGCATTTTGCAACAGATGCCCCAGCTTGGCCACACATCAGAGCCTGCTCTGCCTGTAAGGCCCTTGTACATACACACCACTGGGCATATATACTTTACACAAATTAAAGTGACTGGTAGTTAACTTTGTAGATGCCACAGTGCTCATCAGGGCAT